TGTAGATGAGGAAGTTCAAGTATGGAGAGGACACAGTGCCAGAGTCACCAATCACTTCAGTGCAGAGCTGAGATGAAGGCCTTATGCACGTGTAGCTTAGTGAGTGACTTACTCTGGCTGTGGTGCTCTTACACCTGGGACTAGATTGGGACGGCGCCTGAACAAAAAGCAGTAGAAGAAATAAGAAAGCAAGACAGTCCCAGATAGGATTCTTTTAGCCCTGTTCCATCCTGCCCCTAAGCTCTGAAATTGAGCTTCTAGGCTTCTTTGTTAGCTTTGGGGCCTCAGAGCCCTGTGCTCCCACTGCCAAGAATGCAGGGTCAACTTGGTGCAGAGCAGGGTGACTCTGTGGTCATGGATGGCTCACACGGCCCCACCTGCCAACCCAGGGGACAGCCACTCCCTGGGAAAGTGTTGGGGTCATGACCATTATGACTGGGCACATTGCAGATGCTTCAAAGCAATGAAATTATGAACAATCTTTTAGTCTTATTTTGTATTTTTTTTCTAATTTTCTAAAATGAGCACACGTTATTCAGGAACAAAATCCAATATCCGATAATAATGTATTCTAAGAACTAGGAATAATACTTAAGAAACGCGTTGCACCACGGCAGGACCAATGGAAAGAGAGCCAAGAAGCTGAGTGCTTGAGAGAGACAATGGGATCATTTGTGTGCATCAACTCTGGTGGGATTGCTTAAATAATCCATCCCCTGACTCCATTGTATACCAGCTGGAAGGTGGTACAGAAGAGAATCTGGCTGGTATACACCAGTTGTTTCTATTCAAGGTGAAATCACCTCTTATTCTGACTCTTCATATCTCCCTGGAAAGGGCTGGATGTATCTGCGGGGGTGGTCAGTCCCCCCCCCCAGAGCAGAGGAAACATTCTCACTTTAACTACAAGAATCAACCATGTATCTCATACAAACCATGCTGAAGGATGACCAGAGTGTATTTTTTCCCACTCCTTCTCCCAGATATTGAAAACCAGCTATTTAACACTCTCAAATAAGCCAGGCGAAGATAGAATCAATTCTAATTGCCTCTGGGCGATGAACTTGAGTTCATTATTCTGAATTTGGCTCTGGTGGGCCTCCTTCCGAGCACCTCTTACTTGGGGTGCTTTCGTAGTGAGTGTGCCTCCTAAGGTGAGGGTGAGTGAATGCTGAGGTGCAAGGCCCAGCCTCAGAGTGCTGGCCTCTCCTCTTATCAGAAGAAAGGCAAGCATTGCTAGGTGGAACTACTCACCCACAATGGGAGACTATTCCAAAGAGCCCTTGGGCCCCCAGGATGATCAAGGAGGGCTCTGTCCTGATTTGGAGCTGTCCTGTCTTTGTGGCTCTCTGATCCCTGAAGCTGAAAGGGCAGCGTTGTTGAAAGCCTAAGGCTTGGAGAAGGGTTGATGCTGGAACAGGCACAGATTTGATTTCTTATACTTGACCTCCAGGGAGCCACAGACCTCCTGAAACCTACAGCCACAACAAACAGGGGAGAGACTGACTGGAGCCCGTGTGCCTCTCTCGAGACAGATCCCTTGACTGTTTTAATTGACCAAACTTGATGCAGAAGCAAAGTAGGATAAGTGGAGAGTCAGAAAAAGGAATCAGAAGTAGAAATAATAACTCCCAAAATGAGGAAAGAAAGATATGAGACCCCTCTCTAGTCAGATACCCCAACCTTCCTGAATCCCCAGCTGGCAGGGTAGAAAAGAAAATGATGAGATGGGCCCCTTGCTAGAAGTTGACACACGAAATGCAAAGCACATACCTGCACCCCACCGGCACATAGCTGTAAGGAATGTGAACTTGACCTGGGGTGGAAGCTGGGGGCTTAGTGGGGCGACTTTGACTTGGAGTTAGCAGAGTCTGACCTCCAGAGCTTCTCAAGTAGAGGCTCCTCTCTCCTCATCTTCCTCAGCCACCTCACAGCCAGGAAACATCAGTAACTGCTTGGACTTGCATGTTTTAATCTAGCTAAGCCCTTGATCTCTAGCTAGAGGGATCAAGGTCACCTGGGCAAGTTCTCCCACTGGCTAGGACTTGTCACCTGTTCAGGCCCTCCATCCTGCCACGTGATGGGTGTGTTTTGCTCCCCAGCAGGACCCTGGAGTGTGTGTATCTGCAGCTATCCCACCCTACTCTCGAAAAAGTCAGTCGAAGCCCCTGTTCTGCTGATGGTGAGTTGAGCTCAGATGGTTTACACCTTTCTGGGAGTCTTCCTAACATTTCAGGGATGCTCAAGCTTTCAAAAATATGCAGTAAGCTTTGTTAAAGGTCTGTCATGAAGATAAGTAATTGGATAGAGCAGATGATCTATTTATGGAAAATATGGAATTTTTTTAAAAGAGGGTGTCATTAATGGTAGGTCGATGAGCCAGTATCCTCAAACATGATTATTTATGAAAAGTTAAAATGGTTCATAGCAAATTGTCCCATACAGAATTCCCCGCCCCCCCACTTTCCTGTAATTGGAAAACAGTTGGAATTTGGGTCTGCTCTATACAGACAAGCCCTCTGCCTCAAACAGACGCCATGGACTCCTGCCTGTCCCCGCCTTGGCAAGGCCCATTCAAGAGGCTTGGAAGGAAGACACAAGGCCTCTCAATCTGAGATACTTTTCTTCACTTTTCCTTAAGCCCAAGTATGCCCTTCCCATTAAGGGAGAAATCTAACTTTTCAAAGAAAATTGAAAATAAAATTCCCAATTGAAAAACTGGGTTTTCCTGAAAATTATTTCCCTTCCCAATAGAATAAATCCTTTGTTTTAAAAATAATCCTTAGCACCTCAGTTGGAAGCTGACGGCATTTCCTGTTAGCTCATCCCACCTCCCAGCACACCCACACACAGGGCACTCACACACCAGACCTTTTTCAGAAGCTGACCAGCGTCCTGGCAAAGGAATTTTTGAGTAGTGGCCCCACACGTGCGTGCAGGTGCGTACTGACACAAATGTACACAAAATGCACCGGAGAGATACACACATACAGAGACTCCCATTCAAGCCCATTCATACACGTTGGATGTCCTGTCATATCCAGATATGAATTACATACGCACAGTAAAAAAGAGCAGATGAGGGTGGTGGATAGAGGAGAGAGAAGGTAAGCAGACAGTCCATGAGAAAAGATGGAGTCTGGCAGATGAGACCAAGTACTTGGCGGCAGAAGGAAGGCTGCTGAGTGGTTGGCAAAGTTGCCAACTTGTGTTTGCTTATGAAATAATTGACTTCTTGGCTACATGGTTGGCCATGGCTGCACCAGCTCAGGGATTCTCTCCTTGCCTCCCCAGGGCTGCTCAGCACCAGCAGGGTCACTGGGGTCACTGCGAGCTGCCCCTGCCCACTCTGCTCCCACCACCACAGCTCTGGCTGATTCCTCCACTGACACCTGCAGCGCCAGTGTCACTGGGGTGGATTTGTTCACCTCTTTTGGGGTGCTAGCCACTAAGACAACTATTTTGGGATTCATGGCCTTGAATATCAAGAGGAAGAGGATGGATAGGAGTCAAGAGTATTCCGTTAATTTACACAATATCATACAAATGTGAGCCCCTGGGAACAAGGTGCTCTCTCTGTATGGGACCCATTTTTTTTTCATTTGCACAGAGGTCACCCGTAGGAAAAGGGCAGATGTCCAGTGACAAAGGACAGCACCCGTGATGGGGAGTGACAGTCCTGTTTGGGACACATACTTGTATGACAGCAACCAGAAGCAACATCCCTTCTCTCTCCTGAACCGTGTGTCTCCCCTCTTCTCTCACAGTTTTTGTGCCCAGCTGTGTCTTTAACTTCCAAAATTAGAGGACTAAATCCTGCAGAGTCTCAAATGTGAAGAACCACCGGGTCCTGTGGCCCCGTGGTTTTGTTCTTGGTTCTGCCCTCTGGGAATTTCAGCTGTACCAAAAATAATTTAAAAAAATACAACACAAACAATAAAACCCCACACTCAGCAAACATCCACCACATGCACATGCGTGCACACACACACACACATACACACACACACACTCCAGGGATCTGCAGCTGCAGAACCCGCCCCAACACAGCCCTGCCCCTGTCCCGCATGACACTTCCTAGGTCTCTGGGCCTCCATCTAGAGCCGTGACACCTCTACAGCAATACAGAGACAATAGTTATGATGCAGTTAGTTCCATTTAAAAGGTAGAAAAGAAAAACAGAAACCAGCCAAAGTACACACACACAAACACACACACAGACACACACACACATCACAGCATTGCTCCAAGGCTCCGGTCTGCCCAGGGAGTGCAGGGGGGCTGGGGACGGGGCGGCTTCCTTTTCACTGGGTGTAAGGCAGCTGGAAGGTAAGACTGGGTCTCTGAGCATCCACTGATGGGTCCTCTTGTTGATGCAGATCTTGCCTCTCAGCATGTTCGCTCCCCTTCCCACCTCTGAAACTTTGTCCAAAAGTTTGGCAGCAAAGAGAAAAATGTCCATCTCCGTTTGTTTTCTCTTCTACTCCTTGTGTGTTGCTGGTGGGCCAGGAAGGAAATCAAAACAGGAAGAGCAGGAGAAGCGATTCTGAAAATGGCCTCAACGATGTGGTTCCATTCTGTGACCTAAGGGCTTTGTTTGCCTGTGATGTGACTGGTGGGGGGTGGCGTCCTCTCCTGCCAGCCCAGGGGGTGGTGGCAACTTCTTTCTCTACACCTGCGCTGCCTCAGACCACGGCCACCGTCCCTTCACCACCCCGTCCTTGTGAGTGATGGGGATCAAGATGCTATCGCAAGTGGTGGTGTTTGCTCTGTCTTCAAGAAGTCATCAAGCTGAAAGTCAAGAATTGATGGAAGAGCCACAGGATGGGGATACTTTCCCCATCTCAGTGATGAGGCAACACAAAGTCCGGCGAGATGCAGGTGCCTGAGCCAGCTCAACTCTACCTTGGCACTGGCATCATCTTGATTTAGTTTTGTTTTATATATGTATATTATATATATATTTATATATATATATATATATGTATGGGTTTGTTTTTTTAGCACACTGTCCCATTCTCGGGTCTGGATTTAGGGCAGTTGGTCCTCGGGACAGGTTGGACAGAAGGGGCCAAGGTACAGAAGAATCCCGAGATTAGTGTGAGGCCCAGGCCCCCCCATGCACAGAACATAGACCAGCCATAGCCATGGCTGATGTCGTCAGGAAGTCCATACAGGTAGCGTGGGTAGCGTGACAGCTCGAAGTTGATCCCAGCCACACAGGTGCACAGTGAAATGATGCAGAAGGTTCCTGGAGAACAAGGGAAAAGATATGGGGTGGGGTAATGGAGAAGGAGTGGGAAGAGGAGAGGAAGAGAGAAAAAGAAAAGTTAGGATGATTACATTTGCAATATTCTTGAGTAGGAAAAATGAGAAGGTCCAGGTAAGATCAGGTTATTAGCATGGTCAGTTATCTGGAAATAGTCATGGGGAGGAGAATAGTATTGATGGATACCGATATACTTCTGTAACTCTCCACTAATTACCCAGTCTTGGACAAACCGAGGAAGTCTCCCCTTTGGGAGAATACTAGCTAGATATCTCATCAGAGTTTTGTGTCAGATGGAGTGAGGCAGGAAAGCATCCAGTTGGTTTTCCTAAAGCATTTAAAATTCATTGTCTTTCTTTGGAGATGCAGAAAATACCTCCTGTTTGCTACTTCTTTAAAGAAAAAAACATCTTTTTTCTTTCCTATACATAAAATCTTATAAAACATTTGGTTTCCCTTTAATCTGTTCACCAAAAACTCTTCCAAATCCTGAAATCATCTCTTTTTCTCCTATAAGACACATTGCCTAAAGTATTCTCCATGGGACACTAGCCCTACGAGATATTCCTCTATGGCTGCAGTCCCTGACCCCTGGGTGCTGGGTTGGAACTGTCCATGGCCTGGTACGAATCAACCGGGCCACACAGCAGGAGGTAAGGAGCAGGGAGAGGGCCCTGCTCCACCAAACTCACAACACTGCCTGAGCTCCACCTCCTGCTCCTCTACCCCCCACAAAACCAGTCCCTGGTGCCAAAGAATTTCTGGTTCAGTAGGTCTGGGTGGGGCCTCAGAATCTACATTATGAACAAGGTCCTGGGGGACACTGATGCTGGCTGGGTGATCACACTTTGGAACTGCTGGGTTAGAAAAATGTTTATTTTATTTTATTTTTTTTTGAGACAAAGTCTCACTTTGTTGCCCTTAGTAGAGTGCCATGGTGTCATAGCTCACAGCAACCTCAAACTCTAGGGCTTAAGCAATTCTCTTATCTCAGCCTCCCAAGTAGCTGGGACTACAGGTGCCTGCCACAATGCCCAGCTATTTTTTGGTTGTAATTATCATTGTTGTTTGGTGGGCCTGATCTGGATTAGAACGCCCCAGCTCCAATGTATGTGGCTGGGGCCTAGCTGCTGAGCTACAGGCACCAAGCCCACTTTGGCACTTCTAATCCGCATTTGTAAAAACCGTTAAGTCAGAAGTGTGGCAGGACAGGCCAGAGGTAGGGAGCAGCCAGTTAGGAGGCTGCTGCTATCGTGAGGGAGACGGGAGGAGGGTCTGGTGCAGTGGGGCAGAGCTGGGAGTTCCTAATGGCTTATAGGATGACTACTTAGTCAATTGTAGGGGGGACCCAAGCACCAAAATGTGTGTGTTTGTGTGTATGTATGCATATGTATGTTTGTGTACACAAGTGTATGTATCTATGTGTGTGGAGTTGCTGTCAACAGCATACATCACTGCTTGTAAGAACGGTGTTCCCAGACTGGTGGGAGTCACAGAGCATCATAGTTCCCCGGGCTGTGTCCTACATCTCAGACTGGATTCTCTGATGGTTCCCAGGATGGACCAGGTCTCAGCCCAGACTTTCTGAATCAAAAGCTCTTCAGGAAAGCAGAGGCATCTTTGAATCCTGTTTGAACCCTGTGTAGGGCAGAGGGGCTTTGTATCACTTGGGCAGAAGAGGGGAAGGGGGCAGCCTTCAGGACACAGGCGAGGAGAGAGCAATTGCCTGGGGTGGGAGATGCAAAAGAAAACTTTGTTTTGACATTAGGTTTAAAAATTCCAGATTCCAATAAACCAAAGCTGGCCTGCTCCTGCCCCACCTACTGTGGATATACTTCCAATTGCTGGTTTGGGAACCTATCATTGGATGTGCAATGCTATAATTTACTAAAATTTAGATTTAGGACAAGAAGTGGGGGGAAAGTGGGGGAAGTTCAAGTTCGTGCTGCCCTTAGGATGTTCAAGGCTCTTGGAAACCCGGATCTGGAGCCTGATGGAAAGTTCTGAGCCAGAGATGTGGCCTGAGTCATCACCTCATCAACTGAAGCTCAGAATGTGATTGGGGTCACCCAAGGACTTTAGACAAACTATTTCTCCGTAGAATACTTCACAAAATGCAGCCATTTCTTCTCATTGAAAGCTGTAGTATCCTCTTGGTTAAATCTAGTGATTTGTTCTGGGAGAGAAAGTCAACCCCAAGAAGGGTGTGGTCCTCCCAAGCTGCCAGTAACTGGAAAAGCTTGATACACACTATCCTCACAGCATCTTTCCCAAGCAGGGGGGACCAGACACACAGGATGTGGTTGGTGGATGGACACTGATGAGATTAGGTCTATGCAGGCCTAACTACCAATTGAAAATGACCCAAGTTGTCATTCTGTTAATGGAGCTTACAAGGGGATCTTCCTGCCTTCAAGTCCTGTCAGTTGTTCTGTGTCTTTGGAATCTTTTAAAATTCCTTTTGTTTGTTTTCTCTCATCAATATCCCCATGGATGGGAAAACACTTTTATGGCTGTCACTAAGTAACTTGCTGGGAAATTCCATGTGAAAGGAGGGTGGAGTTAGAAGAGGCTTTATTAATTTCTATATAAACTACTGTTTATGTAGAACGTGAGCAAGGATTATACAGTTTTCTGTATTTCTCCACTTATAAATTCAAATTTGAAGATGTGTATTAATAATTACAAACAGAGGCACATAGCAGATCCTGAATAAATGGATGGAATGAACATAAGGTGTTTGCCATTGTTAGCACCAGATTCTGACGGCTTAAAGACCCACGTGCTCTGACAAACATCATCTGAGCCCTGAGGAGTGGGGGACCAAGGGGGGACAGCCAGCCAGGGACCCTGCCTGACATGGTTTTCTGTCCAGTGTGAAGAACATAACTCTGCCTGGCAGAGTTGGGGTGTGAGGTGCAGAATACCCTCCCTGCCCACCAATGCACTAAGGCTGGGAGTCAGGCGGATCCTCTGGGAAACTAAACACAGATTTTAAATGGCTCTGCTGGAGAAGATGTCTCAATTAAAAGACAGCCTGAGATAAGAGAGCATAAGGAATTGCAGCCTCCTCCTTTCACCCAAAGTTCAGTGGCCCAGTGGCCCAGGGCGAGTGGCACAGGGCTGGGGAGAGCTACTGAGACAGACAAAGGGACTTCTGCCCAGAATAGCATCTACTCTGTGGGAAAGATGAAGTCCTATTTCTTCCCCACCTACTCCCCACAGCAGCAGACTGCGGCCTCTGGGGCTAGGTCTTTAAGACCTGTCATGTTATCTCTTAGGAACACTTATTGATAGAGAAATGAGAATCTCAGGATGACAATACAAATAGTGATGCACAGCCTTATCTTTTTAGTACCCCCCATGGATTGGAGTTTGGGCCTAATTCCAATCAGACTGCAAAAGTCAGTGTAGTCACACACACTGGCTGTTAGCAGTGCCAGGTCTTGGGGTTGGGGGTGGAAGTGGGGCAGGGGAGTTCCTGAACAGTGGGCACCCTGGTGTGGAGGACAGCTAATCAGCAAATACTTGTTGAACTCCTATGTTTGGGTCAAGCATTATACTAGATGCCAGGGAGATAAAAGAAACAGTAAGACATGATCTTTGGAATCTTTAATCAAATCTAAAATAGAAAAGTTAAAAAAAAAAAAAACGCTTATCTGGGGGGGACATGAGACATGCATAAATGAAAAGAGTTGAGGATGAAGTGAAAACAGCCTCAGATAGGGGATTCAGAGACCTGGGTTTACTATTGTTCTGAAACTTTGGTACAGGAAGCTTGAACAGAAGTCTACAAGGTCCCTCCCAAGTCTAGTAGAAAAAAAAAATACCAAGTAGTAAATGGTAAGAGTAACTCCCCGGCACAGACAGTAATGCTGGATCAGGGAGGGTTTCCCAGGGAAGCTGGGTCTTGAAGGATGAAGAGGATTCCTGGATGTGATAAACAGATAGGAGTCCTCACCCAGTCTGGAAAGTACCCATCTTTGGATCTCAGCACCCCATTGTCCTAGAGGCCTATGCCTGTTGTGAGACAGCCTTCCACACACTGCCCTTATTAGTCTCTAACCTCCCAGCACAGTAGCTCCTGGCCACCACCTGAGTCAAGCTTCCAGCATTTCTCACATGACCACTGTAGTAGACCCTGCTGTCCTGCCCGCTATTCTTACTCCCATGGAGTAGCCAGTAATACTCCACAACTTAATAAGATTATGATTCTCTGCTGCTTAAAAGCCTCCAATGCTTCCTATCACATTCAGAATATAACCCAAACTCCTGTAGCCTGCTCATATGGGCTTATCTGAGTGGACCCTGCCTACCCCCCTGGCCTCCCATGTCACCCTCCACCCCTACACTCTGGCTACACTGTAGACCATTCTGTGTGTCCAACTAGCTAAGCTGGCTCTACCTCAAGGCCTTTGCATTTTCTACTCCAGTGCTCAGAATAACCTTGTAGCTCTTTTCAGATCTTAACCCAGTGTCACCTTCTCAGAGAGATCTTCCCTGGTCCTCTTCTGAAGTAGAACCTTCCCAAGTGGTTTTCAAACTGTCTTCCACGGAGATGTCTGAAGAACTGCCTCTGGGAAGGAGGGAGGGAGAAGAGACTCCCAGCCCTTGCTCCTCTCTTTGGCCAGAAAGCTCTGCTTTGATCTGTTTCCATGTGAAATTGCAATGAAGAAAGGATTCCAGTGACTTAAACATTTTAGAAAATCACTGGCCTTACCCATTTGAAAGGGGAACGAAGGTATGTCATTGTAGGAACTGTCCTTTGGACAGCAAAGTCCAACGATTGATCCTTTGGCAGGAACAGCTAATCCAGGGGTTCTCAACCTGTGGGTTGTGACCCCTTTAGGGGTTAAACGACCCTTTCACAGGGGTTGCCTAAATATATCCTGCATATCAGATATTTATATCACAATTCATAACAGTAGCAAAATTATAGTTATGAAGTAGCAACGAAAATAATTTTATGGTTGGGGGTCACC